AAAATCGGGATCAGCCTGGTAGCAACGTGTTGGACCCTTTCGATTTTTTTGCCTCGCCTCGGGTAATCGGAAAGTAGGCGGGCGAACCGTACCATAGGATTGGTCTAATGATGGAAGAGAAGAGGCGTGGCAACCTCTTCAGACCATGTGCCGAGGCTACTTTTGAGCGCCCAAAGCATGCGCAGTCCGTTTCGATATAGTCTGTTCGTGTTGTCCATGGACTTCAAATCGTAGCGCGTGAGTACACCTAGGTCATTCACGGATGGTGTGGGATATAGCGCTTGGCCGTCAAGGGCGTAGGTTCGGCCGTCAGCACCCTTTTTTAGACTCGTAAATACAGACTTGGTTGGGTTGACCGGGAGAAGAACTTCTGCAGACCATGTGGATAGGCGGTTGAGGTCTTGCTGAAGTAGGCCACAGTCATCGAGAACGTCAATTTCTCTCCAAATCTTCATGTCATCTGCAAACAAGGCACACGGCAACCGGAGAAGCTGAAGTAGATCGTTGATGTGGATCAGGAACAGAGTGGGCCCCAGCACAGTGCCTTGAGGCACGCCACTTGTAGAGGGGTACCAGTCAGTTAGATGGTCGTCGACCTGTACCCTCCACTTTCGTCCAACAAGAAAGTCGCGAATCCACCGGTGCAGTGAGCCACCGACACCACACATGCTGAGTTTGTGAAGGAGAACCTCATGACTGACCTTGTCGAACGCTTTACTGAAATCGATGAATATCACGTCGACGGACTTCCTCTTGGACTGTTTCAATTGAGAAATAATTCCCGGGGATGACATCAGAAACAGAAAGTAGCGAACAAGCTTGTTTTCAGGGCTTCGTCATCAGGCTAATACAACCACAGTTTCTCCTCAGTACCATTAGACAAGGTTTTTTACTTGAAGCTCTTTCACTCGGCTCGAAATTCTGTTGTTCACGAAACTATGTTAAATAGCTAGATTTAGAGGTCCAATTTGAGAATCTCTATTCCCAAGTAGCTACACTTTCGCCGTCCTCAGCCTTAGCAGCCGAGCAGTATAAATCAACGCTGGTTAACGCATGTTACGAATACCTAACTTATAAACCGTGTACCAAGCATCTACTGAAGCAGTAACATCTAGACGCCCTTAAAGAACTCAAGCGAAACGATAAGGTACTGTTGTCTAGGCTGGATAAGGGAGCCGGGATTGTTCTGATGGACAGATCGGACTACATCAGTAAGATGTATGCCATTCTTTCTGACGGGACAAAATTTCGTAGAGTGGATAATGAGAATGACAAGACACAGGCAATCGAGAGATCCATAACGAAACTCCTGCTTTGCTTAAAGCAGGAGAATGTAATCGACTCAGATATATTTGAATACACCAGACCGAGTGGGACAGTGATTCCAAGATTGTATGGCCTGCCCAAAGTACACAAGGAAGGGCTACGACTAAGGCCGATACTGGATATGTGTAACTCACCGTACCATTCAACTGTCAAGTGGCTCGTCAAACGGCTGGAACCAGTCAGGAAAGCCATAGCTAGACACAGTCTCAAAGATACCTTCGATTTTCTTGACTCAGTAAAACAAATTGAGCTAGCTGGGCGACAGATGTTCTCCTTAGATGTGGTGTCTCTTTTTACCAAAGTTCCATTGGAGGAGACCGTAGATTATCTGTGCGAGTTCATCCTGCTGCGCAACATCAATGTTGGTATCCCACTAGACCGGCTGAGACAACTGCTACTCATGTGCACACGAAACATTCAGTTTCAGTTTAATGGAACGCTATATCGACAAATAGACGGGGTGGCAATGGGTTCACCATTAGGACCGTTGCTCGCGGACGTCTTCATGAGCAACTTGGAGTGCAACCAGCTGAACGAATCCATCAACAGCTTGGTCTATTACGGTCGATACGTAGACGACATATTTTGTATCGCGAATAATGGAATGTGCGTCGATGACCTATTGGCCCAGTTAACACTGCACATAGCAATATAACTTTCACTATCGAGCTAGAACGTAACGACACGTTGGCATTTTTAGATGTCCAAATCAAAAGGGCATCAGATGGGTCAATGCGGAGGAGGGTGTACAGAAAAGCAACCTGGAATGGGCAGTACATCCATTTCGCTAGCTTTGTTCCGATAAGTCAAAAAAGGAACCTCGTCCGTTGCCTAACGGAGAAAGCGAGGAGAATATGTACAGATGATACACTTTCAGATGAGCTGAGTTTTATACGAAACGTACTCGAGCGCAATGGGTACCCTGAGAAATTCATCCAGAGGCACATGGAACCACGAGTACAAAAGCCCAAACCCGTTTCCGCGGAGAATCGGATGGTATACTTATCGTTGCCATTTAAGGGTGACGCGATAGCGGAACGGACCACCCGAAGACTTTCCTTAGCAACAGAAAGAACGTATTTTGCCGCTAATCTCCGCGTAAGCTTCACTTCAACACCGCTTGTGCGCCAACAACTTAAAGACAGGATACCACGGCCGCAGACCTCCTTCTGTGTGTACAATTTCTCTTGCTCGTGTCGAGCAAGGTATATTGGGAAAACGACCAGGCGACTGTCCGTTAGGGCTCGAGAGCATTGCCCAGCTTGGCTCTACAGCGGCGTGAGGAAGAATGTAACGAGTGCAGTATTGTCGCACCTAGTTGACTCCGATCATCAAATCGATTCGCGTGACGCATTCACACCGATTTACTGTGTCCCCGGACGTTTCACACGGGCAGTCAGATGTCGCCTGCTGTCGACAGCAGAGGCGATCGCAATTCGGCTCTATAACCCGGACCTATGTGCACAGAAAAAGCTCGTCCACACTTTAGCCTTGCCTTGGCCTGAGATCAACGCGACTAACAATGGCAGTCACGCCACTTCACTTGACCAATCAGACCAAACACGTAGACTTATCGATTAGTTACTCTGTTTCAGTGACTCAATTTAAACCCATCGTGTCTATTCTAACTTGCTTTATTGTGGTTGTATTAGCCTGATGACGAAGCCCTGAAAACAAGCTTGTTCGCTACTTTCTGTTTCTGGACTTCCCCTTGTTTATTGCCTTCAACCACTCATGCCTCGTCACAAGCAGGTTCGTAATGCATGAGCGATCTTGCATAAAACCGTGCTGTGCGGGCGTCAGGACCTCGTTTGACTGTAGCAACTGCAGCAATCTCTTCTTCACGATTTTCTCAGCAACCTTTGCCAAAATAGGTGTTAGACAAATTGGCCTGTAATTGTCTACTTTGCTATGGTCGCCGCCTTTCGGAATAGGCTTCACCACCGCACATTTCCAGTCAACCGGCAACGAACCTTCGGACAGCGACCTGTTGAAAAGGTCAGTCACGACAGGAGAGAGGATGGTTGAAAGTGACTTGAGAACCAGTGGGTGAAGCCCATCATGTCCGGCAGGTTTGGTGCCGTCAAAGTTGGCGAGTAGTTGAGCTACCTCTTCAACGCCGCAATGCAGACTATCGAGTTCGGTAAAAGCGGTACACGTCGAACTCGGAACAGACACCTGGTTATTCGCAAATACAGAAGCGAAGTGTGCCGCCAACGCGGACGCACGCTCAGTGCTGGAGGTTAGGGGCTGTCCATCCGTGCCATCCAGCACTGGCACATCACCTGCCGGCTTCAGGCGTCGCTTCACGTATGCAAAGATTCTCTTTGGGGCGGTCTTCGCGGCTAGTGCGAGCTGCTCTTCAAAGTGTCGGCGTTTATTCATTTTTGCACTGTTGCAGAGGTTCCGCTGACATTTATACCCTTCGTAATCATTGGCAGAGCCAGAGAGGCGGAATTTGTTCCACAGTCTGCGCCGCCTCCGAGCCAGGTTTCCATACTCCTTATCAAACCAATGAGGCTTAATCGGTCCAACCTTTCGACATTTCAATGGCACAAATTGGGAACACAATGATGTCAATCTCTCTTTTATAAAAATCCAACAATCTTCCACAGATGCAGCATGTGACAGAGACCAATCAAGTTGGCTCGCGGCTCGAGCTAGTCCATCGAAGTCCGTTTTCCGGTAGTTGGAAGCTGGTTGCAGCGGATGTGAATACGGCAAAGATAATTCCATATCACCCCCCCCCTTTCCCCCTCACAACATACAACCAAACACCCCCCCCCCCCCCCCCCCCCCCCCCCCCCCCCCCCCCCACCCATTCCGGCAATCACCCCCCCCCCCCCCCCCCCCCCCCCCCCCCCCACCAATCGGCTGACCTTGTTAACAGCGGAATAGAGTGGGTTGAAGCCTTGTGGTTGATGCCGGGTATCCTCCGGCCGCGTAGTCTCTTGGTGTGGTTCCTACCGTGCTCTCCTCCTTGCCCCCCCCCCCCCCCCCCCCCCACCCCCCATTCTCTGCGTGTTTTATGTGTTGTTGGCTGTAGTGGTTGATTGTAGTGGGGTCGCGTAGTGGTGGGTTTGGGAGATGGGGGGGTTGTGTTGTGTGTGGGGGGTGGGTAGTGATTGGACATTTTTATGTTGGGTTCCTGCAAGAGCCGGTTATAACAGTCCCCCCCCCCACCCCCCCCCCCCTGGCGTTGTGTGTGTTTTCTCCCGCTTTTATTTATAGCAGGTATCTCCTATCCCCCCCCCCCCCGCCTCCCCCCCCCCCCACCTGCCCAGCTTCGACACACCGTCTTCGCGTATGGTACTACTATGGGCCTGTAGTACGAAGGTTCGGACACCCCCCGCAAACGTGACAGTAGTTGATGATACTTGTGTTTGTTGTTTTCTACGAGTGGCGTGCTCGGAGTGTCTTGTGAGTTTCGCCTCATTTAATAGCCAGTCCCCCCCCCCGAACTACCGTAGTACAGATAGAACGTATAATCAAGGAGGGGTTACTTAGCTTGGAGCCCATCACTACCACGGTTTCAGGTTGTTCGTACCGCATCTTTGTTATGTTGTCGCCCCCCCCCCCACCCCGGGTTGTCCGCGTGGTTGAAGATACTCTCCTATCGACATTAGTGAGCCACTATGCCGGTGTTACTCGCGCCTCAGTGTATGTTCTGGTTTCTGGAGTGGGTTTTCCCACTTAGATCTTATCAAGTGTCTGCGGTAATCCGCTGTTTGGTGCTCAGGATGTATGAGATGATTATACGTTTCATATTGCTGTAGTTATTAGAGGATGGGTTTCAGGGAGTGGAGGTACTTGTAGATATGGATAATCTCCCCCCCCCCCCCCCCCTTTATACCCCCCCCCCCCCCCCCCCCCCCCCCCCCCATAATCTATTATGTTTAAGATCTTTTGTGCTTATTTATTACTTGGACTAATCCCCCCCAAAAACCCCCCCCCGCAAGTTGTATGTTAGGCTTTTATGTGTGTGGTGTCCGTTCACCTCCTTCCAGACTCCCACTTTACATATACCTCGACTGTTGGTTTGCGACGCTTTCCTCCATGAGTGCGCAGACGTCGACGCACTCGTTCCAGCACACACAACATCCCACACGAACGATGTTGGATGTTCATTAGAGTCTAAATTACGGAATTAAATGCACGCACACACGGTGCTTCCTTCAATTCGTCGCGAGTGACTGATTCTGTGGTGCGCGCATTTCCAGCGTCAAATACGTATTTCACTCTGGCTTGCGCATAGTCCGTACAATGCTTTCACCTTCGTATCCCGCCATACCTTATTAGATACTCCCCCCCCCCCCCCCCCCCCCCCCCCCCCTATATTATATACACAAATAATCGCGCGTCAATTTGCATTGACTGGCTTACGGCTTAAAATATCAACTCTGCAGAGTCATACCCAGCAGGACTTACGGATCATAGTTTACGACCCATTGTCCCCCCCCCCCCCCCCCCCCCCCCCCCCCCCCCCCCCCCCCCCCCCCACTTTTCTTTGTGGAGTGTGGGGTCACCATTCTGGGATATGGTTGCAAAAAATATCCACCACAACACATGTCTCGGGCTTCCCCCCCCCCCCCCCCCACACACATATACGGATGCTTTGTACGCCACCATATGCCTCACGTAACAACATAGGCTCTACCCTGTCAGCCGTTTTGCTCTCTATATTAGACGGTAGTATTGTTCTGAGTCCAGACCCCCCCCCCCCCCCCCCCCCCCCACCACCCCGCCCGAGCGCTTTTAGCTGTGCGGCCAGGTCGCATTTATTCTCTTATACTTTAGTTATATGTGCCCCCCCCCCCCCCCCCCCCCCCCCCCCCCCCCCCCCCCCCCCCCCCCCCCCCCCCCCCCCCCGTTATTGTTCTTCAAATTCACCACAATTTGAGTCCCATGTGTCCCCGCCCCCCCCCCCCTATATTTCCCGGCTCCGAGTCTGCAAAGATATGCCACGACTATATATATTTGGGCCCCCCGCAAGTATCAGTACCTGCAGTCCCATTGCTTAGCAGAGTGGAATAATTTATACCTTAGTTCGTGGACCCCCAAGTTCTTGTGGAGGTAGTAGCACCGAGTCCCCCCTGTCATTAGGATATTACCTCCATTCATTGAGAAGCTCGTATTGACATTGTCTTGCGTACAAGCTCTACACACTCTCCCCCCCCTTCCCCCCCCCCCCCCACTCTCCAACACTACCACACATTACTGTGTATTGATATATTATATATATATATTTTCTTACATATAAATATTAATCAAATTATTTACCACCTGAGTTTAGTTTTAAATTACAATTATATATTTATTACCTATTACATCATCCCCCCCCCCCCACCCCCCCCTGTCTTTTGTATATCTCCCTCTATTTTTTGATTCTCCACCGACACGCCCCCCCCCCCCCCCCCCCCCCCCCCCCCCCCCCCCCCCCCCCCCCCCCCCCCCCCCCCCCCCCCCCTACAGTAGTGGTCCGCGGCCTAATTCCCCCCACCCACCTAGGGTGTAGGAATCTCTCTGGGGCGGTAGTTTGCCCCTGGTTGGCCCCCCGTTGCCCTCCTCATTCGACTTCGAAAACCCATAGATTATCACGTAGGATTTAACCCCCCCCCCCCCACCCCCCCGCCCCCACCCCCCCCCCGAACAGTTTAAACATCACCGTCCACCCCTTCTTCCCCCTCCTCCCCGCATCAATGCCTCGATATTATTTGGGGAAAGCGATCCCGATATTTGCTAGGCAAATCAGCCGGAACCGCAGGTAACTTTATATATCATGGTCTACTTTAATAGGTACGTATCTGTTAGTTTGTGCCTCGGATGTCTCTATGCTATCTTCGCCACTTGGAATGCTGCCCTTGATGAATCTGTCCATTGTTCTAAGCTTGGGTTGGTAGATCATGGCCACAAAAAGGATCTGAATCCAGAAATGCATTGAAATTGCTCGCGGTGTATGGATGAGCTGTTGCGGTTTAAATAAAGTTTTAGTATGTTATAGTAACGGGCGAGTTATAAATAAATCAACAAATGATACATTATTGATATCATGAGGTAAACCGCGTCCGCGTCGAAAAAGATTA